GTCGGATCCCAAAAAGGTATCAAGGCTTCAATCACGTCCAATCTTGGCTTGATGTTCAAAAGTTCGACAAGACCACCCAAAACGTTTATCATAGTTCCTCGGCTACCTTTTCCTAGGTCATTCCACCATATGTGGAGCTGTAAGGGGATCTCTTCAAGAGCTGCGAAGGGTTCGTTTTCATCTGTGCTCATCCTGCACATTTATTAGGGTGATTTAATTTAAAAGGTTATGACTCATTTTGACTCAAGAAAAGGTTATCACTATTTTTTTTAAAATTTTCATAAAAAATCCGGCTTTGCAAATACGGCCTTTCAGCACTTCGGGGAAGAAGATTTTAACGTTGTGTTTGCTAAACGGCCAAAACCTTAAAAAAAACTACTAAAGGTGGTTGTTCTTGCAAAAACGGCCTTCCGGCGCCCTTTGGGGACATTCAACTATTTTAGACAAGAATGACATCACCTTACTTATTTACAATCAAAACAAAATTTTTTTGTTCTTTTGGGCTATTTTTACAAAAATGAAGTTGTACCCGATTGGGTTACCTACGTATCCCACATCCGGTGAGAATCAAACTGCCGTAGTTCGGGAAGACCAGAAATAAAGTAAATAAACTAACTCTTTTTTTTTTGGAATATTTTAATTTCCGCAAGAAAGACTTAAGAAGAAAGAAAATTTTTTTGATTTCAAATTTTTTTTTTTTTTTGGGAATTTCGAAAGAAGAAAGTTTTTTTTTTAATTTAGACTTTTATTGTTTTTTGGAATTTCGATAGAAAAAACTTCTAAAGAAGAAAGAAAAAAAATTTTGGAATTTTATTTTGAATTTTCTTTTCAATTTTGAAAGAAGAATGAAAATATTTTTGGATTTTTGGAAGAAATTAAAAGAAAATATTTTTGTATATATCTATATTTTTTAAAAAAAACAATTAGGGTCTAAAAAGCAGTAAAAGAAAATATTTTTTATATATTGTTTTTAAATAAACAATTAGTTTCTAAAGAAGCAAGTAATGGAAAATATTTTTATTTTTTTTGGATTTTTTGAAAATTGGAGTCTAAAAAAAGACTTTTCTAGAGAGGAAGTAAAGGAAAATATTTTTGGATTTTATTTTTTTTTTTTGAAAATTATGGGCCGGAACCGATGAGGTTTGCCTACGTATCTCACATCCAGTGAGAATTAGACCCGCGTAGTTCGCCAGTTTTGACAGAACAGGGGAAACATGGCAGTTGAAAACTTTGGCTCATTTGGAGATGACTTCTTCTTTTTTCAGAATTTCGGTAGAGTTTCAGAATTTTCTAAATACCTACCTCTCACTCCTATATTATTATTATTATTATTTGATGTTTTTGATTTTTTGTTTTTTTTTATTTTCTTCCGCTGTTCTAGAAGCCGGTCAACATGCAAGCCAAAACAAATAGACGCGCAAGTAGCACGTAAAATGCATCAGGATGGTCATTTTCATTTGGGTACACCTGTCCTAGACAGACTCAACCCCTGTGTTGAGTCTCCAAGGTCAAATGCACGTGATGTAAACAAACGTTCCTACTAGGGATCCGGTATGAGGCTTGTTATACTAGGTTTAAAAACCTGGGTTTATTGTTCTAGACCTGGCTTACCCGAGCGGACAGCTCGAGCCGAGGGGGGCAGCGTACCGGGAATACAGAAGCTTCACCGGCTTTGCAACTTGTCCGAACCTCGTTCTAAAATTGGGATAAGACTCTAACAGAAAAGAAGTCACACGAAATGCACACTTTCCAGATGATTTAGAAGACTCAGAGAGAGGAGGGTTTCGTAGCAATTTATATACAGTCCAAACAATATCAAAGCGGTAAAAGCGGCATTTAGTACATTAGGCTCAACATGTAAAAACCAAATAAAACAAGCCAACTATAACAGTTATTCTAAGCTCGAATTCTTGAACCCTGAACCAGAGATTCTGGGTATTTCCCCAGCAGAGTCGCCAGAGCTGTCACACCTTCTTTTTACACACCCGAAGGTAGTACAAGGGAGTTTTTCCAATTAAAGTGATATTATTCGAAATGGGATTAATTTATTCAGTTTTGTTCAGAGTCTCCACTTGGGATAGTTTATTTGGTGTCCCAAGTCACCGATTTATTTTAAATCCCAAATCGAGGAAAATTTCGACTTTCCTTTTTGAAGTCTGCGAACCAGAAATTCTGAATAAGGAACTCTGTTAACCCGGGGGAAGGTGTTAGGCATCCCCGGATTCTGTGGTTCTAGCACGGTCGCTTAAACTATTATAACTGGCATATTATCTGATTTTAATACATGTTTTAAACTATTGTGCATTTTTACCTTATAACCGCTTTTATTTAATTATTGTTACATATTGCGAATTATGTCACGAGAACCGTACTCACGATCTACAACATGTTTAATTTTTTTTTAAAGATTAAATTGTGGCCGGGTCACATAACTGTACCCCCGGATTTTAGTAACTAGGTGTCACAAACTACGTTACGGGAACCGTACCCGTAGCTATGACAATTATTCAATTAACGCACCTAAAGCAAACTACGAAAGTTCAAGCCAATTTCTATTTTTTTAGCTTGCGTTTTCTATCTCTTTTATACATATACATACTTCAAAAGTTTTTGTAAAAAGGAAGATATATATTTAAATTTGCTCGACTTATGTAACTTAATGTACAAGTCATGAAAATACATAGACTAGTAAAAAAGGATTGGATAAATCAGGAGACAAAAAATCCAAGAACAAGAAAACGTGAGGCAGAGAGGATAGGGGGCAAATTTTTAATTGCAAAGTATGGGTTCATGTGACCTGTAAAGCACTAATGACCGGCAATAAGGGATTCAACAGACAAATGCAATATATTGTTGCTGCCATACTGTGAAAAATATCCTGCTTTATTATATCAGTGTATCTTTATGTGATAAACATAAAAGTTAAGGCCCCGATCGAAAGCAACATCCACTGTAACTTGCCAATCCATGATACTGATCTAATGCGAAAACTGAGCTAGCATGATGGTAATGTGCATTAATTAATCATCATGTTAAAAATCAGGATCACATTACGTGGAATGTGCGACACTAGTTTTTGAGAGCCCCAGAAGATAAATCTTTCTCGTATTTAGAATTATTCATCCACAAATACAGAGGAACAAATTAGGGACCTACCAAACAACATCGCATCTCGGACCATTTCAAAAAATTAAAAAATTATGAATAATCTGCAGATACGTATCACTAACCATAAATTTGGCGCCCCATATTTCTTCCTCAGTAGCAGGAACGGCAGTGATCTTGTTTTTGGGGTTCTCATAGCTTCTTAATTCTCCAACTGCTGTAGAGAAGAAACACCCTAGAAAAATATCCAGATTCAATACATTGAGGCAGTCTTTATCGGCGTCATTTTCTCAAATTAATTTATTCACATGTTCAATTGGACATGACAACCCTAAAAAACATATCTAGCTCATTATGCATCCCGCTTGATGATGGACCAATAACCGCCTAAAGCACAAGAAATAATTTACCAACCCACCTTGAGGGAACGACGCAAGTGATTTGCCACAAGCACCTTTAAGCAAATTGGCATCATTGGCGAAGGCCACATATCCGTCAGTAGTGATTCCCCAATAGAGAGGTACCTTACCGAATTGATCCTGCCACAAAGATCCAGGATTTGAACCCGGGTAATGACATGTTTTACCCGAAACAAAGGTGCTACCAAACTACTACGAGGATCAAGATTCAACAAAACCAACTATATATATACAGGGCAATTTGGATAGGGAAAATTTACTTACACTAGCTACAAACAATGTAGAAGTGGACTTGTCGAAAACGATAAATGCAAAATTGCCTTGAAGGTGACCAACGACATGACTCGGAGGGTAAGGTGCCCGATCACGAAGAGCCTTGTATTCTTCAATCATCAATACCACCTCATTTGCCGACTTGGCAAGGCCATATTGTTGTCTCAAACTCCCTAAGTTGTCAAGAGATCCCTCAAACAAGCAAAAGATTTCTTCCTTAACAGCAAATGACCAGTCATTTCAACACCAAATTAATCTTACAAGTTGCTTATTCACGGTCAATTAATTTTATTTAATAGTCACTGAACTTTACCCTAATCACTATAATAATAAAGTTATCATTTTTTTTCTTTATTGTCACATTAAAGCAATTGAACTATGTGTGAATTACAAATGAAGGAAGGTCAAATTCCACCAAATAAAAATTTGACTTTCCTAATAGGACAATTTAAAATATTAAAATGAAAAAGAAAAAGAAAACTCAAAATTGGACGTTCCCATGATTTGTACTTTCAAGCAAACCTTAGATCACAAGAATCTTGAAGTGTTACGCAATTTGCTTGCTTCAAAACACATGCAATATAAATATAAGTAGTATTATTTGTTGATGAACTCCTAAAAAACCTCCCAACTCATTGACCAACGACAAGAATTATTTGATTTTTTCCATCAAAAGTTAAATTCCCACCTACTTATTATTTCTACTTTTTTTTCTTGCATTAGCTGACAATATTTTATTTACTTTTTAGTTTTTTTTGTCTTTTCAAGTAATTGACAGAGCCTGCCAAACTGCCACGTTCATGAAGATAAAAAATCCAGATGGTATCAAAGGGAACACCAAGGTTTTTAGTGCAGGATTCTAACACATGTTAGCCATGCAAAGAAAGGGCTGATAATAGAGCCAATAAATTAATGCTTTCATCATCTCCGATTAAACCGTCAGATGACATAATTAAATTCAACATATCCAACAAAGGAAATGCTAAACCAGTAAACTTTGTTAGTATACATAATTAGATATGGTTATCAACTAAGGGCATCCTGTAATCAAACGGGGATCAACATGTCTTTAAAATCATCAATAGCTCAGACATGTGAATTGTGATCAACGCCGACAAAAATAATTCCTCACAAGCTCCTCGGTTTTCTGCTCCAGATAATATTTTTTTCGTTTGTTTTAATTTGGTGTTTTTATTTCTATTTTTAGTAACAGTTTTTATTTTCAACCATTCTTCCAAAAAACATCCTTTCATATTTAAAAATAATTTTAATTAATTTCAAATTTTTCATTTTACTATTTTGTCTTTAATAAAATAAATTTATATATAGCCACGACGCATTCAGAGGCGTGAGGTAGTGGAATTGAGTTGAGAATCATATGGTCTCATGTTAAATTTCCAAGTGAAGGTAAAAATACTAAGCGATTTCTTGTTACCTGAAGTATCCGTATCAAAAGAAAATTGGTGAAATGGCAATCTTTCTTTCTTAATTTAAGCTCGTACCCAGACAAATAACTTGGCAAACAATAAAATGGGGTGATTAACACTTTTGGTACCTTGGCAGTGAAGCAGACTCATCCATGTGAGTGTAGGCGAGTTGGACATGACCGTTGATCTGAATGGACACCGCCGAAGAATCGCTTGTAATGAAGCGGTTCACCAGAGCCTCCGCCGTTATCTTAGGCGACGGAGTCCGGCTTCCAGCGTCCACCAGCTCATCCGGCGGCGTCACAATCGAGCTGCTAAAAACGCCCAGCATTTCCAAATCTAACAACCAAAAGAATAAGCAAAGTTTACACTCTCTTTGGTAGAGAGTACACGAGGGAAGAGTAAGACGAGGAGTAAGGAATTTATAATAGGAGATGATTGAGGACCTTTTGGTCATTTAAAACATGCAATTGTCTTTTTGGGAGTTTTTGGACTGGTTTTGTTCGCAAAGATAGAAGATGGTACAACGCAAAGAGTGGCACGTGAAGTGGGACCCAAAAATGAGGTAATGATTCTTGTGTGGGGGAGGAACTTAATCATGCAAATGATAGATGTACGAGGCTTCTTTTTGTTTTACAATTTTGTGGATTCAGATTTATGTGGACTCAGAAGTATAAGATTGGGGTCTACAAATTTGTAAGATAAAAAAAGAAGCCTCATACAATTAGTGTCAGTTGTACGAGACACAAAATAAAACTTCTCCAAAATCTATCACAAGAATCGATAGAACTTTGCAAGCAAAAACTTTCTCAAAGAAGAAAGATGAAAAATGTGCTCTGCCAGGACATCGTACACTCAAAAGTAGTCACAAAATGTGATTCGCTTCGGTTGAAACTATATCAATTAGAATAATCAACCTGTACACAGGAATACTACCAGGCAGCAAACAGACGCTAATTCTTCAACGAAAAGCATCACCTAACTTCGAAATAGAGCTGAAAATACCATCTTAGTAGCATAATTGTGGAATTTACAAAAAATAAAAAATAAACCCATCGTTCAGAGTGAAATTGCGCAGAGTGACCTTCTGCGCATCTAGTGTTTATTTTTTTGGCCACCATAAAGAATATGTTGATTTATTAGTCTCGCATGTTTTTTGTTTTGTTTGTGCACGATAAGATTTCAGCCACAAATACTGAAAAAAATTTCTGATGGTTCGTCGGGTTTGTGGTCGAATTCTGATGATAATCACCCTAAGATGCTTATGTTGATTGGCAGAATATCGTGATCACTAAGATTTGGCCAGAAATCTTGACGTGAACGTGATCATCAGGATTTTTACTGAAAATATTGACGATCACCATAAAAATTTGGTGAGCGCTAGCAGCGTGCTTTCAAATTTGTGACGCGAAGGCTATATTCTTAAAAAATTTCTCAACGAAATCACAACCTAAACAGTGGGACTAAAGATCTTGTTGGTGTAAATCACCTTTTCCAATCTCTAATGTTAACAAATTTATGATTTTTACTTATTTATATTATTTTTGATAAGTGTTTACTTTCAATATAAGTTTTAATTTAATTACAAGTTGATATACAATTTATCATTTATATATAGAGTTATGTATTAGACTAGCTACAATCATTCCATTTTCTTATATTAAGTGGTGTCATCCGATACCGTTTTGTCGGAAAATTTTAAATATATGTGTATAATTAATACACAAATTACTGCATATAAACAGGAATGACACCGCTTAAAAATTCTTCATCCGTAGCCTAAAGGTTAAGCGACTGCTCTTTTTGTTTCTAAAAATGGATGTCCTACGGGATTGAACTCCTGATCTCTCCATAGATGAAAAAAATTAGCTAAACCAATAGGCTAAGGCTTGGTTGTGTGAGCTAAAGCGAAATATATATATATATTAGATATTCCATAATAGTTACAAAATATATTAACGCATTAATTTTTCAAAATTAATATAGAATTAACAGTACTGTAGCTATTTGAATTTTCTGTTTTCATAAAAACTTCTCCAGTTTTTGCTAATTTGGATGTAGGCCAAATTTAAGGGCCAACAAAACGTAAAGACATGAGTCTAAACTCCATTGTCATCCATTAAAAGACTTCAAAGGTTTGAATTGAAAAATAAAATTTTGTAAAGTTGTTATTTAGTTGAATTTGGTATTATTGCAAATGATTGAGAATATCCTTTGAAGTGTATATCTCAATTTTGACAAACTTTGGTGAAAATTCGAGGTGATTTTGACTAGAATTTCAGATTGAAACTAGAAAAAGAAGACATAAATAAATTGTATATATTTTGTAGTCAGGTGTAGAAGCAGAATGCAAAATATATACAATTAGCATAATTGTATACAAGTTGTATATAAGTTGTATGTAAATTATAGTTTTTGACCGAATTATGTATACAAAATTTATATTTAATTTGTAGATAAATTATAGATTTTAACTAAATTCTTATACTATTTTTGAAAAACTTTAGTTAGTTTTTGTAAATAGAAAAACTTAGATAAATCGGGTAAATAAATTTAAAATTTTGTATATATATAAAAAAAAAGTCCCTTTATAAACAGATCATATGTCCGCTGGGCCCAAATGAAAGTGCAAATTGGTCGGGAGAAATTCAAAAATAGACAGATTTACAAGTGTTCATTCAAAAATAGCCACAGTTTTAAAGGTAATCGAAATTTAGTCATTTTTCATGTAAAGATAAATCTGAACGAAAACACTGTTCAAAATCCGAAAAAATACTCTAGCATAATATACTGGAGTTCCAGTATATATACTGAAGTTTCAGTATAATATACCGGTCCAGCATAATATAGTGAAGTTTGGAGCATCGGTGCTCCAGTCTCCGGTATATTATATTGGAGCCAATAAAGTATATCGGTCCAATATAATATGCTGGAAGTTCATACACAGGTGCACCGAACTTCAGTATATTATGCTGGACCGGTCTCTGTTGCAGCAAAATAGTGGCTATTTTTCATTAACTTGGTAAACGCTGACTATTTTTGAATAACCAGTCCAAAAACTGGCTAGACCTGTTAATTTAACAAATTGGTCCCACAACCTCTAAAGTCCAGCCCGTCCAAATACCATTCTTTCAACTGCAAAAACTGAAGCGGGTTCGACCGTATATTCCAAATAGGGTTTCGTTATGGCTCTGTTTTGCTCACCCTGTAATAAAACTTTAACTTCAATTTCCTCTTCGTTCACATCATCTGCAATTCCAAAAGCTTTCAAATCCCCATTTCCTCCGATTTTCAGTTCGGAAAGGGTTTCAAATTTTACACCGCGCATTTCGATTGACCTGTCTCGGAAGAAACCTTATATACCCAAGTGCTCGGATTCTTCAGTTGAGCCAGATAATAATACAAATTCTACGACAATTATTTTCCTGAAAGGTACGCTGAGAAATTTCCCTTCAATCAATTTTATCTATAGAGTTCTCATTACAATAGCTTAGTCCAATAAGGATCATTATTAGTGCATTAAGGGAGCAGTAAACCTTACATTTTCCGGTAGTTGGGAAAATATGGAGTCGGGGGATATAGTGAATGAATGCTTCAATATTTTGTCAATTCAGTACCATCATTTCCAATCCTGCTATTTAGTTAGTGGTATGTGAAAAGAACCCTTCAATTGTCTTTAGAGTCGAATAATGGCAGCTCATACAAGGAGAGAAAACTTGGTCATATCTTTAGAGTGTCTCGACGATTTTCATATAATTTGTTCGAGTAGTATAGCAATGAAGCTTAAAAAGGACGTTATATTGAGCTGCATAAAGGCTACACACATGCAAATAAATGTTATTGAGGAGAGCTGTATGTCCGGTGAAGGTTGTTAAAATTGTTATTATTATCTTATACTCTGAATAGGTTCGAGCCGTGGAAACAGCCTCTTGTAGAAATACAGGCTAAGGCTGCGTACAATAGACACTTGTGGTCCGGCTACTTCTCCCGACCCCGCGCATAGCGGGATCTTAGTACAACGGGCTACCCTTATCTTATACTCTGAGAACCTCCAAGCTCTTATTGACTGAAAGATATGAAGATTCTGATGTATCAGTTAAGTGCTTAGTAGTCTTCTCCTTGTGAAACTATGGTCTGAGCAGTCACCAGCAAATAGGTCAAGAACTTATAAAAAAAACTTTCTGTTTATCCAAGCCTTTGATGACGATACTCTTCCTCCTTGTTTGGGTGTTACATCCAAAAATTTGATTGATGCAGGACTAGCAAAATCTACAGCAGAGGGAAGATTGAAGGTGGTATTTTCACAATTTGGAGATGTCAGCCGAGGTGCATATATTTTACCATGGAATTTCTATGTACACTTTTATCTTTGCATTTTTCTTGGTAAATATCATACGCGACAACATTTCTGGTGGATAGTTATTACTTATTCGTGTTAAGAAGCTCATACTTTTCCTCCCTATGTTGCACAGCCAAATTATAGCTATTGATAAGAAAACTAAGCAACTGTTGGGATTTGCATTATTCATTCTAAGAATATTGTACTTTGTGTTCCTTGTGTTGCAGTCAAAATCATAACAGATAAGATAAGTAAGCAACCGTTGGGGTTTGCATATATCTGGTTTTCCGATAAAGAATCTGCACAATCTGCTGTCCAAGAGATGAATGGAAAGGTAAAATACAGATGCATTATCTCCTGATTTGGATCCATTTGCACATCAACATCTGAGAATTTCCTTTGCTGTCAAGTTCTTAGATGGCAGGTTCGTACAGGTTCAGATAGCAAAGCCTGAATCTTGCAAGCCAAATGTCAGGACAGCAACTTACAAATTCTAGGCAACCCTGATCTGCTTCTGGCGAGCATTAATAGCCCATTTAAGGTTACCAAATTAAGGATATCCGGACATGAACGAATCCACGATTCAGGAGCACTCGAGCAAACCTTGTAGACAGCCGCAAGGACCTATCTGATGCTAATGATATCTGAATCTGGCTACTATTGCTCCTTTGTTGATATAACTTGAGGTCGTTTGTGCATAAGGCTGTATTGTGGTCCGGGCCCGGGCCTAAATGGGCCAAACGGGCCTGGGCTTAGTCGGGCCGGGTTGAGGCGGTCCCGGGCCTAACGGGCCAAATGAGTAGAACCGGCCCACTGCGGTCCTAAGCCCACATGGTCCCGGGCTAAATGGGCCGGCCCGCGGGCCTAAACGGACTTTTTCGTTCCGGGCNAAGTTACATATTAGTCTATGTATTATCTCTAACAAATCTCATAAATCCTTCAAGGTCCGGAGGACTTTCCGTTGGTGGTGGAAAAGAAGCTTGTCCATCACCACTTCCGGGCGAAGCAGCATCCTGCGCAAGTTCCGCTAGCATTTCTTCATAAGCTTCGTCTATCTCCGGTTGTGATTCTGCAAGTCCAAAAAATCAAGGGTTATCACTATCAAGAATAATAGGCAAAATTGACGGGTAACATTGACTATCAAGAATAATAGGCAAAATTGACTATCGGAAAATTGAAAACAAGGGTTATCACTATCAAGAATAATAGGTAGAGGAGGATGGGTAACAGGTCTGGATCGGGGAACCGGGGGAAGAGTAGTAGCTTAGCGAATAGATTTACCAATTTTAAATTTTTCCTTACCCTTACCACCAAATGTTTTTTTCAAAGAAAAGTCCATATTAATTATAATTATACTAAATAAAACAAACAAAACTATAATATTAAAACTTAAGAGTTGGAACGAGTTTATCGAATTGATGAACAACTTCTTGAAAATTGAATATCGTTGAAGACTTGAATACTTCAATCACCAACTTCATAATTTTTCACGAAATTGCAATAATAAAGTAAGCAATTATAGAAGAAAATTAGAGAGAGATTCAGAGAGATTGATGAATTTGTGAGTAAAAATGAAAGAATGAGGGGGTATTTATAGTTGAGAATAGGGAAAAAGTATAATTATAAAAAGTTTGGGGGCCAAATGACTATTTTTTAAAGTTCCAAACGGCTGAAAATTGAAGGCCAACAGCTAGATTTTAAAAATCTGACCGTTGGCCATTTTTTTAAAAAAAATTTTTAAATTGGGGCCCGTTTGGCCCGGTTGAACCGGTCTACCGGTCCCGGTTCACGGGCTATTTGGTCAGTACCGGCCCGANGGGGGGAGGGAAGGGGAGGGTGGGGGAAGCTAGTTCAGAACTCTTGGACGTCATGACTAGTCACTTTTCCAGAATGATGGAGTTAAGCAAGTCATTTTATATATTTTCATGCCCAACATTTTATTTTCTTATTCGCGGAAACAGAGTCAATAAACTTGTCAATGGGTGATTTACCACATCTGACCATTAACAGAAATGAAGAAAAACAGACAAGATAGATGGATAACTTTAAAGCACTGTAAATGGTTTAATCGGTAAAGGTGTGTGTACAAGTACAACACAACAGATAAAATAGGATAATCTGATTTTGTATTTCGTAAATCTTCATATGCACTAATCCACAAATGTAGCAATGTGACGATAAAAAAAAGGGATAAAAAAATGTTTTAGATGACGTTATGTAGTTAAGATTGACCATGTAAGTCTAAGTATGTACGAAAAATAAAGGAGAGGAAAGAGGAGAGCTTGTATTGATTTGGTTGTGAGCAACATACAAGAGGTTAGTTATATAGAAGTTTAGACTACCAGAAATGAGCGATGCTCCTAAAAGAATGCTAAATGGATTGATTTCTCAAGACATAGTATCTAATCGTAGCGTACCAAATTAGTCTCTTTTTATATTCTTTGACACCCAACATTTTATTTTTTAACTACTCCCCGTTTATTTAAATCTATTTTCTTTTTGGTTCGTTCCAAAAAGAATGACTTCATTTTATAATTTGGAAATAATTTAGCTTAAACTCCCAATGAGTAGCTTCTATAATCACACAAATACTTTAGACTCATTTTTTTTTAGGATCACAGATTCTAAAAATATTTATTTCTTCTTCTTCACTTCTTTTCGACTCTTCTCTGGTTTCCACGTGTTGATTATGGCCAGACCCTTTGTCTTTCCTTTCTTCTTCACCTTCGAGTGATTTTATTTTGTGTGTGAGGTCTCTCTTTATACCCATATATGTCTCGAGATAAAAACAAAAAGAGCTCACACAACTAATATCTTCTTTCACCTTCTCACTCTCTCGAGTGCTTCTTCTACCTCTTTCCCTTTTTCCAGTGTTTTCTACTGGACTTTTTCTGTTATTTGCTTTTCCTGTTCTTTTTTAATGTTATCGCTACGGAGAAATGGACTTGCTAAATTGGCTGATTCCTTTATCTTATGTAGGAGTGTACCAAAATAGCAACGAAAGATACTGCGAGATATGCCACCAGCTTTTCTAATCGTAGTGTACCAAAATAGCAACGCAAATCCAAACCAGGGCCGACAAAAGGGACACACTTCTTTACCATTTTTCTCTAATTTAAAGAAGTCGTCCAAGTTTCCGCCACGTGTCTTTTCTCCTTGATTACTACTCCTAGTAGCTCGTAATAATTGAAATAATTGTTACATATGTTGTTACATTCTGTGTTCATCTCCAATAGAATAAAAAAAAAAAAAGGGAAGGTCCAAGTTTGAACAAGAAGAAGCATAGTCGAAGGAGGGGAAGTTAAAAAGAACAAAATTATGCAGGTGATCAATGCAGCGTCACTGGTTCGAATGGCAACGAGAGCCTCCAATTCGCTAGGGGCAGAAATAGCATTTGGTACTGTCACTTGGTTCGTCTATGCCGGGATCTCATGTTTTTAGTTCTGTTCGCCGGAATTATGTCCGGATTGACATTAGGCCTCATGTCTTTGGGCCTCGTTGATCTCGAGATACTTCAGCGAAGTGGCACCCCCGCTGAGAAAAAGCAAGCAGGTATTTTCTTTCACTAATTTTGTTCACTCTTCACTTTTTGATGAATATGTCACCTTTTGATCAGCGTACCTAGCGGCGGAGCTAGAATTTTCGCTAAGTGTGTCAAAATATAAAGGAGGAAATACAGGAAAAAATCAAGAGACATATAGTAATATATACATTTTAAAAAAATTTACCTAGCTACACGGTGTAGTGTGTAATTTTCTGGACGAAGTGTCAGTTGACCCCCTTTGAGATAAGGTGGCTCCGCTCTGCCACTAAGTGTACCTAATTTTTCTGCATTATCAGAGGACATCTACTTGCCAGGAGTATTTGTGTTGCTAACTGATTCTGATTTTGTTTCACAATATTATCAGTTGGATTCAGTATATTGTGTGGATTACCTGTTAAAATTAGTCCAGATTAACTATGAAATGAGAATTTTGTACTTGAGTCCTCTTACTCATAATAAAGTGGTTTGGACTTATTATTGAGAACTACTCTGCGCATTGCAATTTGCTCATCTACTGGTAAAACAAGTCGAGTAAGGTGATAATTTCCTGATATACAGTATCAGCTTTGTCTCTCCATTAAAACAGGATGAATGGATGAGATATAAGCAGAAGTATATATTCTAATATAAGGTATCATTGTGATTAAATACAAATGCAGATAGCTTTGAGTTTATCAGTTCTGAATATTGTCTCATTCTTGGGGAGAATCTTTATCATCACATAACTTCTACTTTTAATGGAATTTTCGCCTTTTCAGCTACAATACTTCCTGTTGCTCAGAAGCAACACCAGCTTCTTGTGACCCTACTTCTATGTAATGCCGCTGCAATGGAGGTAAAAACTGAACATCTGGCTTCTTGATTTACTTTAGGATATCTTCAGTAATACTCTATAATAAGAAAAAAGGGTTGCCCGGTGCACAAAGCATCCTACATTCACGTAGGGTCATAGGAAGGGCCGCACCCAAAGGTGTGTGATGTAGATAGCCTACCCTAATGCAACCATTAATGGTTGCTTCCACGGCTCAAACCTATGACCTATAGGTCACACAGAGACAACTTTACCGTTGCTCCAAGGTTCCCCTTAAAAAAAAGCTCTATAATAATATGATGCAAAATCATAAAGAGTGTGTGTGTGTGTGTGTGTT